TATATATATATATATATAAGCTTGTATATAATATATAAGTTTGTACACATTACAGTACAGGGGATAAAAGATCATAATAAATGATAAATCTGGATAAAAGATAATTGAAAATACAAGATAAATAGGGATAAATCTGCAAATAAATTACATGCAAAAAAATTCAGAATTCACTGTTTTTGTTTACAGTGTGCTAATTGTTCCAATAATAAACTTTAGGGTTGACCAGTTTTGTATAAGCTGACGCACATTTAAATGCATCAGCAGTTTAAATGATGCTTTTCTGGCCTTTGACAGAGTAAAGGGAGAGATGGTACCATTGGGTTTGGTTGGAGAAGGAGGGGTCCCTTTTTCATCCCCCATAGCCCGTCTCCTTCTCTGGAGCACCATCTGAAGCTCTGCCTCCCCAACATTACGGCTGAAGCGTTTTTTAGATTCCACCCTTCGAGGGCCAGACCTCCTCATGCAATCCTGAGGTGAACCAGCCAATAAAGTTACATTAATACAATAAGCCATGAGAGGTATAATAGTGATTTTGCAGTGGTTAAGGGGTGTTTTCTCTAAAACTACCTTAACTGTGATAAAATCACTAACACACGACCCTATTATAAAATGGCTGCAAACAGTAATATAATAAAACATACCAATGTTTAATAAACAAATTAACAGTAGCCGGTAACACTAAAGACTTGAGTAATGATGCTGAAAATTCAGATTTGCATCACAGGAATAAATTAAATTTTAAAATATATTCAAATAGAAAACAGTTATTTTATATTGAAATAATATTTCACAATTTTTGACTGTATTTTCGGTCAAATAAATGCAGCCTTGATGAGCATAAGAGACCCAGATTTTAATTCCTTATCTGAAAGTATATCTTCTATGGATAACCACAAGTATATTTTAATGTCAACCTTGCAAACAGCTAGTCTGAGTAATAAAAGTTATCAGTAGTCCACATTTTAAGAGATCTTATTTTACCAGCATCCCCTGTAATTCCAGCACAGCTGATTTCCGGTTCTCAGACCTTTGCTCCTGTAAACGTCAATTATTTTTGATTAATAATATTTTGTAATTTCTGAATAGTTACTTTATTAATATGTGACCCTGGAACACAAAACATAATCATAAGGGTAATTTATACATCATCTGAAAGCTGAATAAATACGCTTTCCATTGTTGTATGGTTTGTTAGGATAGGACAATGTTTGGCTGAGAAATCTGGAATCTGAGGGTGCAAAAAAATCTAAATACTGAGAAAATCATCTTTAAAGTTGTCCAAATTAAGTTCTTAGCAATGCATATTACTAATCAAAAATTAAGTTTTAATATATTTACAGTAGTAAATTTACAAAATATCTTCATGGAACATGATCTTTACTTAATATCCTAATGATTTTATAAAAGAAAAATCTATAATTTTGACCCATACAATGTATTTTTGGCTATGGCTACAAATATACCCCAGCGACTTAAGACTGGTTTTGTGCTCCAGAGTTCACATAATTCACAAGCAATGTATGAAGTGGTTAGGCATGTCGCACACACACACACTGGAACTAGTTTCATAGAGAGAGAAAATAGGAAATCTCCTCATACTTTAAAATTCAATAGGAATCACGCATACCTGTAAGTTGCAGGAAGACCTGAAAGACTGCAATAATGTGTAACTGTAGAAAAAACATTAGTATCACTAACCTTCCATGCATTTTCATCCTCTGACACAGCCTGAACAGAAACCAAATATTTATTTATTTTTTCTGCTTAAACAGACCAATATAACATAGATTATCTTACAAAGGTGTATTTTATTATATCATTGAAATCGATGTCCTACTGTGAGAACTGTATGTGATGCATACATGCTCATAGGATTTTTTTCCATCACACATTTGATTATTGTCATACAGACAGTGTTGGTGAATCACTGTACAATTTATGTTCAGCAAAACATGTAATAATACACAAGTGACAGACTCACCTGTGGTGTTCTGAGAATAGGTTTGAGAATAATGCCTTTCTTGATTCTTTCCATCATTTCATCCACAGCTCTGGCCTTCATATCCTCTGTAATTGCGGGTTCTGTGAGAAAATGTGCACAGTATTCATTGAGGATGGAAGAGCAGCACTTGCTTTCTTTGATTTAAATTCAACTTTTAAATGACTGTATTGTTTCTTCCTGTCTGCTGTGCCGATTTTGCCTTCCACATAGTACAGGTCAGATGTAAGGCATGATTGTCTTACTCGCAGTTTGAGTGGTGCTGTTTCCTCCCTGCTTTCGGTTCCTCAAAGCCTTTAATGGGCTAAAAATACAATGGATTTGTTTTTAATAAATTTTGGAGATGCTTCAGGTAGTGTGTTTTTATGGTTGGAATGGCTTGACATAAAAAGGTGCTGAAGACTCACTCAGTGACAGCTGAAGATGGAGGAGGAGTAGGTGGAGGAGGAGGTGGAGGAGGAGGGGGAGGAGGAGGAGGTGGGGGAGGAGGAGGAGGAGGAGGTGGTGGCGGCACCAGTGATGGTGGATCGGCTGGATTTTCGTTTGCTTCGTTCGACTGGTTAGATTGGATGGAAGAAAGTTGCTCCATCTCGCTCAGTTTATCCTTGAGCAGCTTGACTAATTGCAAATTAAATTTAAATATTGCAATTAAAATATTGATCATTTTATAACAAAATAATAATATTTTAAAAAATAAAAATGTCCAAGATATAGTACTATTACTCTCGGGTGGGAAAATTCAGTTGCTCAGCGATGGCTCTTTCAAAGCTCTGGAGACATAATGGAGGCCTCAAGCATGTCTAATGTAGGCATCAACTAATATTACTCATTGTCTCTGTTTCTTCTAACAAAACCTAAGTAAATGTAGAACTTGGTGAGAAATGCTTGAGTTCATATGGAGACTTTGATTGCAGAATTTAGTATCTTGGCCAATCTGAGTTTGAGACATTATTGAAATCTCTTTTGAAACTCTAGAGGGACATATGTGAGATCTTTTCTCAGGAGAAAAATCTGAGAAGTTAGTTTCCACCTGCCCTAAATCTCAACTCATCATCTTGATGAAACAGCTGAGATCTCATGTGCGTTTTGTCTTTCCTTTGAGGGTTCTTTCAAGCAATATAAGGTCCTAACACTTTTTCAGCATCATAATATAGATAACTTTTCAAATAAGACCTACTTTCCTCCTGAAGTGCATTAACAGATTGTTGCGAGTCTTTCAGTTGAATCTCAATCTCGCTCCTCTCATTCTCGGTGATCTCCAGCTTTGTTCTTACTGTGGCCAGATCGGACAGAGAGTTGAGATCCTGAGCTGCTGTCTGAGAAATCTGTATAGATGGATACAATTAAAGCTAATTCAAATATCACATGTTACTGGTTGACGCTTTAGGATTGTTTCAATTGAAAATCCTCAAGCTACCTCCACACTCTGAAAAATGCTGGGTTGTTTTAACCCAACGTTGGGTCAAATATGGACTAACCCAATTTTTGGGTTAAAAATGTAATTGAAAAATTTAACCCAACAGTTGGGTTAGTCCATATTTGACCCAAAGTTGCGTTAAAACAACCCAGCATTTTTGAGAGTGCACAAAAAAGTAATTATTTAATTATTATAATAAGTATTTAAGTGCAAATAAAAAGTTTGGTACAAGTATAGTGAAAATACAAATTATATTAATTATTTTTTCACAGCTTCTATTTATATAGACAAGAAATGAAGTAAATAACTGGGGAAACTGGATCGGGAAACGATGCAATGGATTCAAATGTGTTTCTCAACCACATAAGCATCACAACTCCACGTCTCTGACATGAAAACCTGAATACACCAGATACACTGACACACTCACCTGGTTTTGGTAACAGAGTCGTATCTCTTCCAGAGCTTTGCTGATTTCAGTCACTTGACTCAGAGCCTGTTTTAGTTGTTTCTCAGTCTCTGCGTTCTGAATCTGTCTCTGGATTTCCTGCTGTTTCACCAGCATCTGTAAGGGAAAACCAATCTTGATCAATCAGTCTATCATCCATCCATCCATCCATCACCAAGCCAAACTTCAAATCTCTCTTCAAATGTCCAAAGTTTTCACACTGCAGAAGGTCTAAACATGCTTCAGACTCATTTTTACACAAGCCAACATTCAAAGTTCATTTTAACGACCTTTCCAACATTTTTCTTTTATTTGTTGAGCTCAGTGGGCATGTTAATTATTCATGCAGAGAATTATCAGAAAGACTTTCTTTCAGCAGAACAAAACCTCAATAGAATCAGTTCAGTTTGGGAAACCAAAAATCAAACCATCCATTATCTCCCTGAAATTTTCGATAACAAGAAGTGTACTTGTTGAAAAGCAGAAACGGCGAGCAGGAAAGGGAAGTGCGAGTTTGTCATGTGTCGGACAGTTTGGACTCTCACTTCTCACCTCCATTCACTGCCCTTTCGTTCGGCTCGCAAGAAGAGCGGGCCTAAACCACCAAGCGCGACCCCTGTGGAGGTGCAATTACAAGGAAAACACATATGCTTGACGAGTAAACGGGTGTGTCTCTTTGTGCGACGACAGCCTGTATTTTCTCCCTTTCGAATTAGTCCGTCATTAGGCTCTCTGTGACTGGAAAAAAACACTGAATGTGAAAAAGATGAATGTGTTTTCGAAACACAGGAAAAACAGACAAATGGAAGGGGTGGCGATAAAGAATGTCATTCAAGCTGTGTGGTGTGTGGCCGCACATTCAGAATGAGTTTGAGTGGTGCGCGAACCGTTGGGGGTCCCTTTCACAGGTGAAGGCCCCCTGTTGGGACCCCCATTATGTCTGTGTCTGCAAATGGGGAACAATATACACAAAGCCGACAAAAGAGATGGCGGATAGGAAGTGTCAAACAAGGATAGGGGTTTAAAGAGCTGCCGAATTTCAAACTGCCATCTCGATGGGCGCTAATTACCGCAGGAAGAGACGAGGGATGCAAAGACAGATGCCACTTTTATGCGGAGATGCTCATTTAGACTGAATGAACGCTAAACCTACTGGTATTAACAGAGCCAGCTGGACTGGCACGGTCAAAGAGTGTGTGTTATTCCAATCCAGTGTTTTCTCTTCATTGTTTCGTGTTTGTTTCATTAATGCAGGTTCACAGTCGTGAGTGCGAATTGACCGGATCCAGCCCAAATCTCCCATGGCCCTTGTGCACACTTGACCAAATCGGGAAGACAACACACTTCCTCCCTTCTACTGTCTATTGATTCAGATATTGTCATGTTGTCGGCCAGGGCATGCAGGCCTTTGAGCGAGAAGTGTGTTTTTATGTCCAGATTATTTAATTGAGCTGTTAGGTAACTATCATAAGATTATGTATCAGTATCTAAAATATGTTTCTTGCATTTTTAACCATTTATTTATTTATTAGTTTATTTCTAATGCTTCTGTTATGATTATTTTTAATCTTTATATTTATATATATATATATATATATCTAAAGCACACTTTGAATTCCAAATGAGTATGAAATGTGCTATACAAATAAAGTTGTCCTGACTCTAAAAACTTTAATAAAGTCACATTTAACGGTGCTCGGCAAAATTTTGCGGCAAAATCCAGTCAATCGTGTGATCAGGAGTTTTGCTAGTGTTGACACCTTTAAATTGTTATTTTTAATGCTGGTAACCAGAAGTATGTCGAGCCTTTATTCATTGATTGATTGATTTTTTTTTTTTATCAAATAATATATAATAATTTGATATAATATAATAATATAATAATTTATCACAATAAATGTTACAAAAATGCACCGATTCCTGTTGTCGCCCGCGCTTTTGAAACTAAGATCCAATTCAAACACGCCTCTGCGGCACGTGAGCGTCAGTTGAAGTTTGCCTAAAGCGTGGCTCCTAATTGATTTAATCAATTTTCTAAATAACAGACAAAATTATAAAGCTCTTATCGAGAGCGGTTATCACTGAATTATTACAAACTTTATCGTCAAGAAACTTAATGTACATTAGGAAAGGGGATCGTATTTACATCCAAATGGAAATTAATCTACACGGAACTGAACCCAAAACCCAAAGTATATAGGTATAGGCTACTAAATTCAAATTCAGTAAGATTTGCCGAATAGAAAGTGTTAATTTGTCTGTCACTGCTTGTGGATTGTGGAACTGACAGACGTCCGTCAACGAGTGAGTAACGAGTAACGTAAAATTTGCGGCATTGTTGTTTGCTGCTTAATAAAAGCCGAATTGGTAAAATAGTGTTTTTATAATGTATTTTCAATTAATTATCTTCTGGGTTCAGTGTAATCACCGCGGTAAACGTTGTGAATGACCGACAGACCATATGTAAAAACGGTAAAGGAAAGGCTTCAAGTCAAGACGTGTCACAGACAGTCCAATGTTTGCGTAATATCCTGTCTGTTGAACATGCAGAGATGTTTCCTTCGCCACTTTTGGTATCCCATGAGCCTCTGTGAGGTTGGCGGTTGCTTGAAAGAATCAAATGGCTTCTTAAAGGGCATTTGAAAAGGAGTAAATTCATTCATAAGCGTCCGTTTTTAACCAGAGGTGTGGCTTTTTGTCTTTTATCTGTTTTTCTATGGCTTGCTACCTTCTGTGCGCTTTTACTGTTTATGGTAGAGAAAGTAATCAACAGATCATTGAAATAGATTCTAAATGTCATCTGCAAATATAGTTTTTCAACGTTTTTTTTTTTCGTGATCAAATGGTCTGTTGACTACTGTCTTCATAATTTACAACTGAACTCATTCAGTCATTGCATCAGGTTGGCAACTTCTGAACATTGTGATTGCCTTAAAGTATTTGATGTTTAAATGTTCGATGTTTAGTGTGATTTGTACGGAAACACGTGACTTTTGGGAAAAAAGTAAGCATGAAGGTCCACCCCTACCTAAGCATCAGTGGGGCGTAAGCAGATTGTACGAAAACTTAAGAATAACATCCTTGCCATGAGATTATGTTGGAGCTCGTATGTCAGAGCGTCCTAAACTTGTACGTGCTCAAACCATTAACGTTTATGGCTTTGTTCTGACATAATACAGAACTTTTCCTGGCAATGTTCTCAAGTCAGCAAACTTGAGCTGTAGCTGATTTGCTGGCATTTTGGCAACTAAACTAAAACAAATGTTAAATTTGCAGATAAAGCGGTATGTGTGAGAAAGCACCTATTCAATGACTGAAGTAAAAAGTCTTTGCAGTTTTATTTATCTAACATCTGTTGTCCTTTTTTTGCAGTTTTGCCAAATTATATTCATTGTTTTTACATCTGTAATTCAAAGAGTACCTGGTGTGCAAAAACTTCAGCATGCTGCCTGAGTCCTTGTTCTATTTCAAGCTTCTGAGACATCTCTGTAAACTCTTCTGTAACCAGCTGGGACACTGGGGCACGAACACACAGAGAAATTACCATGAATCTATTATTCTGTAGGTGCTCATTAATGGTGAGATATATTCGGCTGACTCACCTCTCTTCATTTTATTCACAGTCCTGCTCTGCTTACTGAACTTTCGCAGAAGGGCCTCTTTCTCTCCGACCTCCAACACCAACTTACGAATAGAATAAGAGTTTGAAGTTTCATGAATTCAGCGTCTTAGAATTTCAACCCACATAAAATGAAAGTAGGGCATTGATGAGACCCATAAAGATCCCTAAATTGAAGTAACACTGGTAACATGGCCATTGCCATTTTGGGACTAATTGTTAATTGTTTTGTCAGAAATGTCTGACAACAACTGTATGCATGTCTCATATGCAGGCACTAGGCCATTATACCTTGTCCTTTAAATCTTCCTTCTCTTTCTTAAGAAGCTCCACCTGTGCAGTAAGTTGAATTTTTTCCCCGAGTAACCGGTCTACAGATGACTGTAGTTCTACAAACAGATTGGAGAAAAAAAATTCACTTTTTCTATTCTTGGACAGGTTTATGGGAATGCATATTTTAACTGATTTCGAGGCTTGTTTTATTTAGAAAGTAGTCTACCTCTAATTTGATTCTGGCTCATGAGAAGTGGATCTTCACCGCTCTCTTCCTCAGAGACCAGCTCGGAGCTGGGATCAGCTTCGGGTTCCAGGTTTAGGATGGAGAAATTTTCTGGCATTTCTGGAATCAGGGGAAGTATAGCTTGGCTTTGCCTCTTTAATACCTTGAAATCTTTATTCACCTGTGGGTTCAAAAGTCCCAAAGATTGAGGAAGCGTGGTATGATGACTTTTACCATGTTAAGCCTCAGTATCCCTTGCCCCTTTATTTATTAATCCAATAAGAACAATATACTATATAATTTATAAAGGGGAACATTGTATGGCACCATTGGCAAGGTCCATAATCTGTCCTTGTGTTGAACTCTGGGTTTACTCAGTTTCACTCTTACATCAAGATTCCAGCAATGCCACAGTAGAACCATTTTTGGTTCCTTAAAGATCCCTTCAGTGAGCAGTTCTTAAAAGAAGCATTTTTTTTTTCTTACTGCAAAGAACATTTAAAAAAAATCTAAAGAAACATTTTCCACTAAAAACAGAACAATTTGTGAAATGGAAAGTTTCCATAGATGTTAAAGGAATAGTTCATCCAAAACTGACAATTTGGTAAAAATGTACACAGATTAGGATAAATGTAGCGTTACATCACTTGCTCACCAGTGGATCCACTGGAGTGAATGGGTGCCGTCAGAATGAGAGTTGATAAAAGCTGATAAAAACATCACAATAATCCACACCTCTCCAGTCCATCAATTAACGTTTTGTGAAGCAAAGTGTTTGTGAGAAACAAATCCATAATCAAGACATTTTTTAACTTCAGACCACTGCTTCCGGGTAAAATATGAGTTCTCTATCAAAAATAATGCTTTCTGCAGTGAAAAATTCATCTTGTCTGAATCAGGGGAGAAATATGCAAAGATCAAGCACCTTTAAGTATTTAGTGATGGGTTTGTTTCTCACAAACATAAAGTTTCTTCACTTCACGAGATGTTGATTGATGGACTGGAGTGGTGTGGATTACTTGTGGATTATTGTGATGTTTTTATCAGCTGTTTGGACTCATTTTGATGGCACCCATTCACTGCAGAGGATCCATTGTTGAGCAAATGATGTAATGCTAAAATTCTTCAAATCTGTTCTGATGACGAAACAAACTCATTTACATCTTGGAAGGGTAAAGTAAGTTAATTTTTAGCACATTTTTATTTTTGGGTGAACTATTCATTTAAAGCTTCTTCATGGAACCATAGATGCCAATAAAAAACATAAATTTTTAAGAGTGTTGATTAATGACTCAGTTTGGAGAACATCATAGCTTGTAAGCGATATAGGGGATGTGAAATAATCAACAAAACAAATACACAAGCCGTTAGATTTGTGAGAAAAGGGAAGTGTGCTTACTTTCAGTGCAAAGGCCTCTGCGGTCTCCCTGCATGACCGCTCAATCTGAAACTGCATCTCTAACACATCCAGCTCATTGAGCAGTTGAGCAGAGGCTGAAAGTAGTTATATAAATCAAATGTACACATTTTCAGTGACACTTCAAGTAATTATGGCAAGGTTTAGTCAGTGATAGTTAGTTCAACGACAGTTAGGTTCTCAGAATGTCTTTCATTGTGAGACTACTGTTTTTCTTACAGTAGATGAGTTGAAATATAAGGATATTGCAATTCCAAAAGATTTCCACAGATATCTCACCCTCCTCCATCCTTGACAACTTTTCATTCGCCTCATCTCGCTCTTTCTCCAGAATCTCACACTGTATAACAGATTGTGCAATGACAAATAATCATTTTAATACTAAAATTCATTACTAAAAAAACGTGCAAAGCACTTAAGCGAGGATTCTGTTTATGGAGAATCATTGCATACTAGCATAACAGGACAGATAATGAACCATTATGTGCAGCTTTATATTGTATTTAAGACTCTCACGGTTGCAAATGTATTTCTCATATTTGTGATATCATTTATTGTTATTTAGACATTGCATCTTGTAGTTGTAACAAGAAGGGACGATAGCAGCGGCATACACTTTCACACCGTGTCCTAACTACACGCGACGCTGCAACACACGATAAAAGGTATCTTTTCCATGTTAATCTGAGATTTTGTCTTAACTAGCCGCGACGGCGACACGCAAAATTTTGAATTTAGAAACAGTTTCTATTTCCACAACGTCGCAGCTGAAACAACAACATACAAACTATATGACAGTAGATAATCTCAGGTGATTATGTGCTTTATTCAAAGTTAAACGTGTCTAATATGAGTTTAAATATAATTTTGTGTGACCTTATAGCCATACTGAAAGCAACAACAGATAGTTTACCTCAAATCTTGAAAATAAATTAAAGCAAAGATATCCGTTAAAACTGTGAACTCACTGTGAACCAACGAGTGTATTCCATAACTAAGATGGTATCAGTCACTCAGTATGTACATTTAATGATGTTAAAAAGCTTTAATATTTATGAATTAGATTATAAACATATCCATTTCGTTGCGAGTGCAGTGCGCTTCCAGAGAGAGCCCGCCCACACACGCTTCTGATTGGCTGATATTTGATTGATTCTGTCACGTCACGTCTGGTGTGGACACTCAAATTGCTTGTCGCTGGAATCTTGTCACGTCGCGTATAGTTAGGACACGGTGTCAAGGTGGAGGGTGACAGCCTACGCTCCAAACTTTCTTGCAGGAAAGAAAGCACGACTCTAATTGAGCATCTCCAGGGGTCTTATTGGTGAGTGATACTGTCTACCACAGCTGTTGGTAGGTCCCTTAGGTTCCAGAGATCTGGATGCGGGTGCCGAAGGCTGCCCCTTCCTGGTCAAGTATGTCAGGGAGGCGGCTAAAGAGGAGAAGTTAGGGATGAAGCAGCGATAATATCCGGCCAACCCTAAAAAGGCTCGTACCTGGGTCTTGGTCTCGGGTCTCGGGGCGGAGCGTAC